AAAAAACATATAAACACATTCTTGCAAAATTCTTACGTTACTTTCTGAAGATAACATGATTTTCATCACAGAGATATGCGTACGTACATACATTAAAATATGAGTTGCTTTGGACGATGATCAATAACTCAAACACAGAGTAAACAATACAAAAATCAATAAAAACCTTTTTTAGCTTGTGTGAACGAAAATACATTGTTGGCCATTGTTTTTGCCTCAAGGCACGAGTGCTGATTTGTGTCCATCTGAAATTTCAGAACCAGCATAGCCGTTTACTAAAAGTAGCATTTAATCTACAGTCAACAGAAAATTTAAGCAAATAAAGTGAAAAAAAAGCTATGTATTTAATTAAAGCAATTTTCTTCAATAAACCCAATACACATGCATAAATGAATGCATGAAGGAGTGTTCCCATCTTAAAGCATTGCGAATGAACATAACTCTAAAGTTTCAGGCGGAAGTCGGTAACCGAGCTAGCTTACTGGACATAAAACAACTAAATTATTAGTGATCAATGCAGTCAACAATAAATACGTTGTTACAAAATCAAGAATATTGATTGAATCTTTTAAGTGACCGAGCACAGGTCACAGGTAGTATTGTTCTATTTATCAATTTATGTACCTTCATATGTATGTATGTACTTTGTTTCTAACTATTCTGATACCCATAAGTTTTCAATTTATTCTTAATTATCGAACACTCACATTGCACATCGGGAGACATGTCAAGGGGTATTACTTTTCAACTGGGTGGTGTCAGAGTCGATTTTTATAAATATCTGATCTTCAGCGATAAAAAAAAAATACTAATTTAATGCGATAAAGAAAGTTATTGCCAACTGAATGTGATTTTCCTAGAATTAAGAATAATTATATTGGCCTCAATATTCTATATTAAGCACGTCATAGCTTCATTGATTGTTCACATAAGAGTTCTTTTATAATAACGACTAAAATAAATATGCTTTCCCGAAGTTGTGGGGAAAAAAATCCAACAAATATACAAATCTAAACTTTTCTGAATTCGTATTAAAATCCAAAATGGATTATCTGAGAGAAAAACTGTTTTTCATGAACAAATCGAGAATATCAGGCTGTCAAAAATCTTTAAACTTAATTTCGAGAATTATTCGGTCAGTGTACAATAGGTCAAATTATCATATGATTTGAAGAAAAACCCTGGATAATGATGTAATAGAGACTAATTCTCGTTAACGACACCGACATATAATGTACCTATTTAAAAAATGCATAAAATTTTGTTTCTCCTGTTCCTTCTTACTAACAAACCTCAAACAAATGGATTTTTTATTAAATTTTTTCCTAAGAGAAGCGCAAAATGCATAAAAGCGCAACTAAGTACATATATACATAGGTAAATAAACGTAAACAATTTCAATTTATTCATTTCTTTTTTTTACTTCCGCTTGGACATATTTAGATATTTTAGAGCATTTCTGACATGACCCCAACAAAATTTTGTTTATTATGACATTTTTGAAATTTGATTTTCGCACAGTAAAACGGGCTATATGACACAGTGGGAAATTTCGGTTCGTTACTGCAACTGGTCGAGGATTTGCAAGGGTTTGCAGAACCTCTCTCCACAGAGTTGCGGCCTGTACCAGGTCTCTCGTAAGCTGCATTTCGAATGTTGCATGGTGTAATTTTAGTGTGGGTTATTGCTATTATGATTTTGCTATTTTCGCTATCAAAAGAAATGCAATAGGTATCCAATCTCACCAAAGCAATTTTTTCGTGTTACTATTAAACGATTTGAATGCTGCCAGAGGTTTCTAGTTTCTAGCATACATATATATGTATTTAACTCTTTCAATCAAATAAAATACTCACTTAAGATTTTAACCAGCAGAAACAAATCTGTTGCTAAAGACCCCAAAAGCAATAAGATTTAACATAAAAAAAATAAATTTTTATAACAACATAATTGCATAGTTTACTAATGTAATTACAATCACTTTCACCTACACAAAAAAAGAAAACTTTAAATAAAAAAGAAATCGAAGTTTTTACATGCTTTGTATTTACATAAATGCTTTTTAGTTGTTTATATTGTGAACGAGTTTTTTCCAATTTTAAAACATGGCTACTTCTTTAAAACGCGGTTTAGAAAAAGAATTGCAGAATTAAATTCAAAATTTGATAAAAAAGCATACAACTCACATGTACATATATTAAAGTACCGGATAATTGCATACATATATTATTTTTGCAATTTATATTCAATTTCAAAGAATTTAAACGCCACTTGATTGCAGTCGTTATTTATAAGTGAACATTTTTGGGTTTTAGAAAGATGTTTTGAGTTTGAGTTAGATCCTTACCTGCTTACTGGGCGACTATAGGTGGACATTGCGGGGCTGGCTGGATTGTTGCTTTCATTGTCTTCACTCTCCTTATTCGTATTCGTACTATTGTATAGATCGCAATTGTCCAAATATTCGGTACGCAAATAGGTGTCGAGTTCGTTTTCCTCCTCATCATTGTCAATGTAGTCTTGTTCATTGTCCTGATCTTGCTGCGATTCGACCATGCAAAGCCATTGTGAATTGTGATTGCGGAACTTTTCAAGCTGGAAAAGAGTACAAAAGAGTATTTAAAGAATTCAGTAAATATTTTTTCTTAATTTTAAAGGCAAGACAATCTGCTTTCTATTAAAAATCAGATGAGTTTGGTTCAATTCCCTTTATCATTCGAATTAATTTGTGGTTTTATCTGGATTTCTGCCTTTCTTACCTTGATTCGTTTGGCCCATTCACTATCACTAATGGCGATTATGTCTAGGCAATAGTCGCAGACTTTTCGGATTTCGGCATTTTTATCGTGCATTAAATCAATCAGATACGCCGGTGATTCAGTCTCTTTGATCATATATTCGCGCGTGCTCTCATGCCTTAAAATCTGTTGAAACACGAAAATTATCTGCAATACGATTTCATCGTCTTCCTGTTTGGCTTTCAGCAGTTCGATCAACGAGAGCACCACTTTTGCTCGACAGAAGAGTAGCGCACAAAGTTCGTCATGCGCGCAGGTACCCAAATAGACAATCGTGTCGAGTACCATGTCGTCCAGCTTGGCTCCTGGCACAAGCACATCCCTTATCCACGGTATTAATTGGAAGTTCTGCAGTATCTGCGAATAATCTAGATCGGCTAGGGAGAGATTACCAAGAATGCCCAGACATTCTACCACAAAGGCTTCATCGTCACAAATCGTTAGAATGCGGGCCAAATCGCCGACATAGTCAATAAACTTTGGCTGCAGTGCTTCTTGTTGGGAAAGATTACGCAATAATTTCATCAGTAGCGAGTCCTGATATTTGAATGCACGATCCATAAGGTCATGCAGGCGATTCCCCTCAACCATAATTTGTGCATTGCGTTTGTTCAGCGACAGATTGATGCATAGTGCTATGAGATCAAGATCAACTTTGTTGTTTAAATTTAAGATGATGGCATCGGTGGCCATTTGCACGCATTCGGTGTGCGTAAATAAGCTTTTCACCTAAAAAGAAATTCGAAAGAGTCATTGCGGCTTCGATAAGAAAAGCGAAACTATGTACACGCTTACCCAGTCGTCTAAGCTCATGTGATAGAGTATCTTCATGGCGATGGCGTGATGTTTTTCATCATTGATGAACATCACTAGTTTTGGTAGGTAGCCAGCGCCGACCATTTTTCGCCGCAATGCCCCATCAAAGGACAAATTAAAGACGAGCTTCAACGTTACCTGCGCCAGATCAGTATGCCCACTCTGGAAAAGTCGTGGCAACTTGGCGATAATATTGAACTCTCCCATATCATCTTTATTGTCGCGTACAATTGATAGCTTCTTCAGGAATGTAGTCACCAACATAAGCAAGTCGATATTTTGTCGATCCAGAGTCTTGACGAGCATCTTAACAATATGCTTGCGGCGCATTTTTTCCTCCAATTTTATATTCTCAGCCATGTTCAGGAGCAAATAAAAAGCGACACGCAGTAGTTGTTCTTGTTTCTTGGCAAACACCTTCAACTGCTTATTTAGGCGATCGATTTCCTCTTTCTTTACCTTGGGATCGTTGCGATCGAGCGCCTCATTGCTGGTTGCTTTCATATCGCCGTTCGACGAGACGCCCGAGTCGGGAGTGGCAGCACCGGCAGAGAGCGCTTCATGGTAGCTGCTATTGAGTACTTGGCTCTTCATCAACGAGGAGGACATTGAGCCGTGAAAACTAGACCAGTTACCCGACTTGGGACGTTGCTTCAGCTCTGGTATGCGGCGACGTGGTGGTTCCATCTAAATAAATATGTATGTGTATGTGTGGATGATTTTAGTCAGGTAATGTTGAACTTACCTCTTTTGGCTTTTCCTCATTCATTATATCAAGAAAATCATCAGTGCTGCGATTTAATTTCTCTTTGCTGGATTTAGCAGAAAGTGGAGCTGAGCTGACAGGATTCTTTCGCACATCCAATTCACTGCGCATGCTTTCATATCGGCGCAGTTCATAGTCGATGACGTCCATGCAGAGGGAACCAATCTAGGTGGAGTGATGAAAAGTTTAGCACACATATATATATATATATATACATACAAAGTTATTGTAAATATATGATTAGGAACACTGTGAATTCATTATTAAGACTACATATTTAGTCAATAATAATCTCACCATTTTACTAATTTAGTAAAAACTTAGATAGTTCATATATTTACCAAAGCGGACTTTAAATCAGAGACTTTTAGTGGCTTATGAACAGGTAATCTCAGTTAACTACTGTTTAGGTGCGACTGCTAATACCAGGCGCCTAACGGCATGCTATGTACCTTCATTAAATTTTTGCACATGCACTTCTCAACTGCTTTGTGATAAAACTTTCTTAAGTTCTAATGTGATGACAGTCCAAATTGTGCTAGTTGTGTTCAACTGTTATAAAGCCGATCTGGTCTTACGATATATATAGTTTTAAGTACCGCACAAATTCGAAAATTTCGAAATACTTCAAAGATTCCAATAGGATGAGTGTTGATTGCCATTAATGTGTTTTAAACGATTAACTTCAACGAGATCTCAAGAAGAAATTCCGTTTCATACAAACAGAACCTAAAAACTCACTTAAACATTTTTACTCGACAAAAAGGAGGTCCACAAAACCTCTTGGTCGTTGAATATGCTACATAGCTGGTTGTTCACCAAAAATTGTTTCGCCACTGGGTTTGATAACAAGAGAGAAGCTGCAGTTACTCCATAAAAGATAAAAATTCCAATAGAAACTGGCTTAAAAAAAAAAAACAGGAAAAAAGGATATCTATTTCGAAATTTTCTTCAGGCATGCCCGCGAAAATTAGTAGCTATTCCGCTACATCCGTAGAAGCTGGTTTTGCCATTGGGAATCGTTCGAATTTCACTGCGATAGTATCGAATACATTTTTCGAAGCCTCGCCAGCTGTTATTCTCTTAACATTTCCGTACTTTCTAACCTGCTCAAAAATAGTTTCAAAAGTCTGATCTACAAAGATGATAAGAAGTTTAAAAGTTTTTCATATCTAATAGCGTTTTCTTTTCTCGAAATAATGTTGCATGTATTCTGCCCTGCGCCAGGGCTATCAAGTTTTCGTGTTCTTTTCTCAGCATCTCCGCTTGCTCTTTTTTTATATGTTGCACTCTGATAATGTTGCCATATAAGAGGGTGACATTTTTTTTTCGAGAAAAGAGAACGCCATAAGTTGTGTTGGAACACCCACCTTGTATTGCACAATGACGGGATGAAATTTTGTGTAGGTTGAAAAACAGAAGAATATATAAATAATGTTTGTTGATAAATCTAAACTTTTGCGCCAATCTTCCCGCAGCACACGCGACAATGCGGATAGGCAAGCCTCTGTAACAAATGTAATAAGAGTTTTACTAAGTTAGTTACGTCGAGTCCAGTATTCGTATATAAACAAACCATTTTTCTCCAGCTCCTCCAGATTATCTGGATTACGTGCCACTTGCAAAATCATAGCCGAACCACGTATTCGTTCACTTAAATCCTCATACAACAACTCCACATACTCATCAATATTATTGATGGACACATCAGCATTGCTGGCCGGTGTTTTAGCGGGCGAAAGAGCGGCAGAGGTTGGATTTGGCTTGGCGGTGGTTGGGCGCCTTGCAGATACAGCCGAACGATGGTGGCTGTTATTGTCCGCAATGTCTTATTAAAATTAATTAGAAATAAATTGAAAATTATTTAGGTAATACATATATGTAGATATATAAAAATAAATACGAAGTACTATATGTCCTTACCTGCACCAGCATTATCCTTGCGATTCTTCAGATAGAATATTATTTGCTCCACATCGGCCAATTGGGACTTGTGTATGAGATCACATTTGTCTACGACTTCACGCGCCAACGCAGCAGGATCCGTTTTGGCATTCAACGAACGTAAGCGTATTATTTTCTGGCAATTCTGTAATTTAAAAAAAAAAAATGTTGATGATAATTTTAGTATGCGTCATATGTATGTATGTATATTAGAATAATAGCCTCACTTAAAATAAATATATGATTGTATTATTTATTTATTGTACCTCATAATTACAATGGCCAGTACAGTGAAGGTCAAGTTTATGCCTAATTAATGGAGCGTGCTAGCCGATTAGTAGTGACATGAATGTCTTGTGTTTGCACAGCAGCAGTTAGTCAGAATTCACTGGACTAGTAGGGTGAAATAGAATTTGGGCCAGCACTAGTCTGCAGCTAAGCTTTCAACATTATGCCCCATTTGACACTAGTTCTCAGTCAGTCCTCGATTCGACTCACACTGAGTACCAGACAATATTCAGATTATCGAGCAGCTTACGTATTATCTCTTTCAATGGTAATAAGGCGTCTGATTGTTTACAGAACTACACTCTAAACAAATTTGCTAAACTAAAACTTTTCACAAAGAAGTTGCTCCGGCTACCGATTCCTGTACACGTCCATCTACTTAGATAAATTATTGTTTATTCAAATAGGTTTTTATAGTGAAATGAGCTACCCGAGCAGAGGTCGCTTACGGCTCCTTGCGTTTGGTCTCCTAAAGTGTAGATTATCATACTTCTCTGAGTTGACTGAGGGCCAGTTTTTCAGTGCACGGCCGTGGTTTAAACTAAGTTTAAACGCCCGATCTGGCTGGTTTAAAGTAAGATCAGCCAATCAAATATCAGTCAGCTGTTCAATTTAAACTCAGTTTACTTAATGTAAAGAGCGAAATATCAAACCTTCAAACACCCCCATACACAGCACAAATGGCTTGAAGCAAAGGGAAATTTCGCTTGGTTTGTCAAACCGCTTGTGTGGTGTATTTCGCTCTTAAGTTTAAACTGGCACTGAAAAACTGGCCCTCAGTGTATGCTGGGTTTGCCAGTAAAGACAAATGCCACCTGGTGGCACCGACTACATTGCTGCATTTACATATGTATATGTATGTATATATTTATGCTTAATGATATGTATTTGTATGTACATGTGTGTCTATGTATGCGGCTTTAATACATTTGGGGCAATCAATCAGCAAAAAGAATCCAGTTCAAGTACAAATAAATAACAAATACATTAGCACTTGTAGGCAGTGTTGCCATTTTGGTGCTTTTGGTGCTAGATTTAGCTCTTTATTTTTCTATTTAGCTCCGAAAATCGGGTTTTAACTCCTAGCTCTTTTTTTTTAGCTCTTTTCAAATTTATGTAGAACTTTTTTAGCTCCAGAAAGTTTTAGTTGTATTTGGTATATATAAGCCAAAACTTAAGCGTTGATAAAATGGAAAATTTCGAGATGCAGTGTATCCACCATAAACTCTTGGATCTGGTTTAAAGAGTTTAAAAATTAATTAAAAGAAAATCCTTTTTCTGATAGCGCGGATTTGGTTTTACCTTACTAATTTTACCTTAAAGGAGAGCTGGAAGTAGAACTTTCAAGAAAAATTTTGCGAAAAAATTATTCAATTGAAATATCTGAAATTGCTGACTTTAACAGTTTGTAAAGTATTTTTAGTTCACTGTTATAAGTGCCATAGCAACGAATTCGAAATAAATGCACCTTATTTTGGTTTTAAACGATTTTTTTAGCACTTAAACTTATAATTTTGTATTTTATTAAAAACTTTTATTAAAATTGCCGAAAATATAAAAACAACCTTACGTCAATAAATGCTCAACCTTAACAAAAATATATAGCTCTTCATTTTAGCTACTATTAGTATTATTTAACTCTTCAGCTCACAAAAATGTTTTTTTTTTTTTAATGAAGGTGTTACACGTTTTTTCCATACAAAAGTATGTTCGACAATTTTCTTTTATATGGAGGACACTGCCAACAAAAAAAATGACAAAAATTAATGGGATTTTATAGCAGCTTCTACTAGAATTAAATGGTCTACAAACTTATTAAAAAGTTTGAAATTTTGGTGAAAATAAGCAACATTTTTCTAATTTTTGTACAAAGTTTGAAATTTAAATTTAGATGTATGGTGTTTGTTGTTGTGTTTATAAAAAAAAAATAATAAATATTAAAAAAAAAAAACAAAAGACAAATGCCAAATGCTAAAACCGGTCAAAATATCGCAATTCCTTTATTATGTGGACCACTATATGTATGTACATTAGACTGCATCACCAAAAAAAGTTGCGGTTTTTCCACCGGGATTACAAAATTTATTATATTTTTAAACGTCCACCAAAATATTTCGGAAAAATATTAAGATTTCAGCGAGCTGGACCGATTTAAAAATACCTCCAAAAATGGAGTGTTTTATGAATAAAAATAGTTTCGTAAAGAACTTTTTGAAAAAAGTCCCCTCAGATGACAAAACAGATTAAGCTTAAAAAATCTGCATAAAAATATTTAAAAATCTTTTCAATGGAATCGTAAGAATGAGATATTTGATTTTGTTTTTTTACTTTTTTCAAAGTTTGGTTTACGAAAAACTTGAATAGAAAGGTAGTAGAAAGGTATTTTCACACTGTTTTTATTTCTGGCCAAAAAACGTCATTCGTGTCCCACCTTGTTTTTTCGAATATCAACACATCTTAATTCAACTTTGAATGACGTTCGTTCATCCTACCTTTCTCTTCCATCCTTTGAATGAGTTTATTAGCGAAGAAATAAAAAGGGTGAGAAAATACCTTTCCATTGACACCTCTTAAGTCTAATTCGGAAGAGTGTAAGTTCAGTTATTCAAGTTTTTCCTATACCAATCTTTGAAAAAAGTTAAAAAACAGCATCAAAAATCTCAGCATTACGATTCCGTTCAAAATTTTTTTTAAATATTTTTATGCAAATATTTTAAGCTTAAACCGTTTTATCATTTGAGGGGATTTTTAAAAAAAAAATCTTTAAGAAACTATTTTTATTCATAAAAAACTCCATCTTTGGAGATATTTTCAAATCGGTCCAGCTCACTTAAATCTTAATATTTTTCCGAAATATTTTGGTGGTCGTCTTAGAATATAATAGGTTTTATAATTCCAATGGAAAAATAGTACCGATATTTTTTTGTATGGGGAGTGATGCAGTCTAATGTACATACTAGGGATGTTGCGAATGTGGAATTTTAGACATCCGCGGATGCGAATGCGGATGTCAAGTATTTTTAAGAAACAATTAGAATCTGGTGTAATGACGAGACCGTTGTTTAAACAGCGCTAACAAGCCAAACCAGATGTGTCAGGCTTTTCTAACGGTGATTGCGTCTCTACCAAAAAGTGTCGCCTTTTGATTGCCCCCTTTCTCTTTTCGTGTTCGATTCTAAATTAAAGGCAAAGGGTGAGACAATTTTGTGTTCGTTTCTTAAAATGTCACACTCTTGTAAGGCAAAAAAGGACGATTTTCCGTCCTTTGAAGCTTTGTCAGGGGAGATAGATGCCCTGAAAATCACATGGTGGTTAAAAACGGCAATATTATGAAATGGGTGAGCTAGACAAGGACAAGAAGGCAAAAACACGCTTTTTTACAGGGTTGAGTGTAACATCAAACACATTTTTCACGGGGAAGGGCAACATTTTTTCGAAGAAACGAAATTACCATAAAGCTTTTTAAAAAGAATCCTTCATCTTCATTTATTTGGCTGTTTCAGAATTTGGGGAATCTGTAACTTCAACTTTCTTTTGCGGCTGGTTTGAAAAATTTGTACTTATAGCGAGCTGTGGAAAATAAATTATTACTTTCCAGGACTGAAAATTTTGAACAAAATTGTGTTTTCAAAGTCGTGGCTGCCAGCCGAATCGGATCAGAATATTGTTATCTTTTTAAAAAAGCACCCTGTTTTTTTTTATGAGATAGTTACGTAATTCTTATCTTATTAAAGGTCAGACCCATAGTTTTTTTTAATTATTTGAGCATCGATTCTCTTTATAGCCAGACGTTGATAATTTTTGCTGTAAATCCCCATTTGAAGGAGCTTACTCTTTGATTTTAAATAGCAAAGAATGGACAGTTTTACCACAGAAGTTTTTAGCCAAGGATCCAATGTATATGCCTATGAAAAAAATATTGCCCAACAAGTAAACAAAATTACTGTTTTTAAAATTTTTAGTAAAAAGTAAATTCCCCAAAGAGACCCATTTGAAATTATTGACACGAATATATGTAACATCAAAAGCAAATCATGAAAATCTGGTTAAGAATTACAGTACACACTTTCTTATTTTTTTTGTCCAGTAGTTTTTTTAAGATCGGTAAAAAAAAATCATAATAAAGAAAGAAACCAATGCAGGCATTTAAAGCAAAAAATAAAAAATAAAAAATTGGTAAAAGGACTATATTCTCTTTGACGTACCTCAAAGGTCAAGTAGAAGTTGGAACTTGTATGAATGCCCACTGATAGCTCGGTTATATAGCTTATGAAATAATATGTTTAAAGACATTTTTATCAAAGTTGATAAATATGACATTTGACCAGTTTTGTTACACAAATACTTCCACAGGCAAAAATATTGGCTACAATTTGTCAGTTTGTTTGCCATATAGGTATACGTTTTATCGGTGCACTTGCACAACATTCGCATTCGCAAAAGCGAAACAGCGAAGATCGAAAATCGAATGCAATTCATAATAAGGGCCCTTGATTTGTGGTGGTTAAGTGGTTTTTAAAATTAATATAGATATTTCAGAATATTATAAAAATTTGTTAACATTAAATTTGCAGACTCTTCTACTAAGGTGCATTATGCTTCACATATTTAAGACCAAATGTGGCTACAAAGAATCTGTGTGGTTTCATTTTTTGATTGCTGAAAACGGTGAGTCTACTGCAAAATGCAAAAATTGTGATAAAGTCGATGTTCCGATAAATCTTGAAAAATCCCAGGATCCCGAATAAGAATTTTTCGCGTCCCGATATTCCGGGATTGTTAAAATATGCCTCGGGTAGTATTTTTCAATACTATGAATATATGTATGTATGTATGTATGTCGATTAAGTCTGCTGC